GGGCGGGGGTGTCTGCCGCGGATAACAGAGCAGGCAGGAGGGGGAGAGGAGGAGAAGAGCGGTGGACTTACTTTTAATTTCATCTGCCTTAGTTGATTTAATTTTTATTGTTTTGTCGTCCTACAGGCTCTGTGACAAAATTAATTTGAAGCTGAGTATTTTTTTTAAAAAATCGTTAGATTACTCTAAAGCAAAATGAGGGAAAATCTGTGTCAATTACAAACATTCTGTTCACGTGAGCAGCTGTCAGTCAGCACCTGTCATCCTCCAGACGCACGATGGAGCGTGTCTGAGCCAATCACTTTTGTAGGCATTGATCAGCTGACTGATTTAAATACATCTTAACATTCATGAGCTACTTTACATTGACTCTTTATGGTTGAATGTGGGCGTGTAGAGGGTAGAACCTGAGGCGGGACCTCGTGCGCAAACTCTGAGGTGAAGCTGTGATTTATAAAGGAAAGATGCGCAGAAACGTGCGTACGTACGGTTTTATAAATCTGAATATTTTTTTTTTTGGCATACGCCATTTACGCCTTTTGGCCGTACGTTCACTTTTAGTATGGTTTCCACGCAATCCTTTATAAATGAGACCCCTGAAACATTCCAGCACTTTCAGGACATGAGACAGTTCCTTCAGCCCTGCACACTGTCTACAGTCCTGAAACATTCCAGCACTTTCAGCACTTTGGACAGTCCCTTCAGCCCTTCACACTGTCTAAAGTCCTGAAACATTCAACACTTTCAGGACCTTGGAAAGTTCCTTTAGTTCATTCATACTAGCTGTTTCCATTGACCATGAAAATGTTCAAATTAAAATTTCAAAATAAATTTGCTTAATGGAAACACGTCATTTTAGAACAAACTTACATTCTTGTGTTGTAACCTCCACAGTTAACAACGTGGGAATGATCTGTTCGGATCACTTTGCCTATTTTCTGGAAATACCGGATCTTGATCAGGTATGTTTATTTTTTATTCATGAGGATATGATTTATTTAAACTGACTGAAACTTTTATAGGTCCTAATTGAGTCTCTGTGTTTGTTCTGAGTAGAAAATCACTCAGATTGTCAATTGCAACATGCTGCCTGTCGCTCAGGTAAGAAATCAGTCTRCTGAGTGAATGTTTTACTCACACTGGCAGTATGCAGTAGTGTGAATAAAACATTCACTTCATTGCACCGAAAATATGAAATAATGATAATCTGATATATTTAACTTAGGTGACCAGACTGGTCCTTCCAAGCATGGTGGAAAGGTATTCACACACAGCAGTGTTTGGAGCTTATGTGATTATGAGGGAACTTATGGAGCTTTCATCTTCTCCTCAGAGGAACAGGACTGATCATTAACATCTCATCTGAAGTGGGTGTCCGCCCACAGCCTTTGTTGGCTCTATACTCTGCATCCAAGGTATTTTTTCTATTTTTACAGTTATTTTTAACGCACGTTCTGCTTACTCATGGTCTTTGTGTTATTTTATTTATTGCAGGTTTTTGTTTCACATTTCTCTCAATGTCTACATGCTGAGTACAAGTCAAAGGGMATCACTGTTCAGGTAAACAACACACATCTTGTTCTAGAAGCCGGTATTTAATCAATAAATCACAATTTGAGCAAACTTTATCTTCATGCTGTTAATCAACAACTAAAACAAATAACTTTCAGCTCTCATGTAACATTTACTGCAAGCCCGGAGCCTTTTTGTGTGGTTTTCCCTGTGTATGTGTGGGTTTGTTTGATGTTTTTCTTCAACATGCTTCCTCAGTGTGTGACCCCACTCATGGTGTCCACCAACATGACCCACAACATGAAGGTCAATGTTTTGGTAAAGAGCGCTGCTGAGTTCGCCCGTGAGGCCATGAACACTGTGGGTCACTCCAGCTACACCAGCGGCTGTTTGTCTCACGCTCTGCAGGTTAGGAGCTACAGCAGAATATAAACTCAACATGTCATCTGCTAAATTTTAATTTATCTCTTTCTATTGTCCTACAGAGCGCAGTGCTCAGGTTCCTCCTGCCTGACTGGCTCCGCATGTCGACATTCTTCATCAGGAAACTGAGGAGCCTTCCAAGCATTACAGTACATGAAAACAAATCCAGTAAAGAAAAGGAAYGACTTGTTTTAAAAGAGGAGTAGCGTTTGTTTTAAGATGACTTAGGTAATTTTAGACTTGTCCTATATGGCTGTACTTTCAATGTTGTTTTATGTTTTTACAATTTCATGTACATTTTTACCAGTTTAACCACTTCTACACACTTTTAGCCATGAAAAAGTTTATCAACATGTTCAGTTCATTCAGATGCAAGATTTAAAGTTCAACAAATATATATTGTTTGCAAATACATTGAGAATTCTAAAAAAAAGTTTCCCTCTCACATCTGCTTCAGCATACTTGTTTTATTATTTTTTTCTAGTCATTTTAGTATTTAACTACTACCTGTTACTTTTAGTTTCTTACTAGCTGTTTGCTCATTTTAGTGTTTAGCCAGCCTTTTGCTACTTTGTTACCCATTTGCCATTTTTCACTTGCCTCTTTTACTTAGTGTTTTGCTAGCCTTTAACATTCAGCTACTGTTTTGAGACTTTCAAGCTAGCATTTGGCTATTTTTTAGCTTTAAGCTAAGCTTTTGCTACTTTTAATGATACAACTGCTACATTTAGCTACTATTGTGCTGTCTTTTGCTACTTTAGATTTTATCTACTGTTTTATACTTATAGTTTCAAGCTAGCATTTTGTTATTTTTAGCTTTAAGCTGTGATCATTTGCTATTTTTATTACATTTAGGAAGCTTTTAAGCTAACATTTCCTACTTTTAGCAACTTAGTTTGCCGTTTGCTGCTTGAGATTTTTCCTACTGTTTTGACACTTTTAGCTTGTAGCTACTATTTTGCTAATTTTGTATGCATTAAATTTAATGGCTTTGAAGGAATTTTTATGGCATTATTTCCTGACAAACATTATTGGAGCCTTAAATTAGCTTTTAATATTCAGTCTAATTAGAAAGCAAAGGATCTGAGCAGCAGCTACAGAATAAAACTGTAAGTCATAGTGGTTTGGTTGTGCAATAGAACAGATCAACGATAACAACCACATATAAACGAGTCATGTTCAGGGTTTTTGTTTTGAGGAAAGAAGATATTTTGGTACTTTTCTGAATCATATAAAGATGATGGCTGAAAAGATAAATATGACACTTGATGYACTGGATGTAATATTTTAGTCTTGGCTCTTTTCTGATGAGTTGTTAGCTCATCCTTTTTGATCAGAATTAAACATTTTCTTCAAACTGAGAACTTACAGCTATTTTCAACAGGTAAGATATTTATCACTCATAAACTTTTTAATGTTGTGTTTGACTATAACCCGCCTCAGATTAGAACTCTTAATCTTATAGTTTCATTTTTTCTACCATTAAGTAATTTTTACAGTCTGTCGTCAGCAGCATAAAAACCTTCAGTATATTTCTTCATGTTAACAAAGACAGCTGACAGTTAGAAAACGCTTGTCAAACTGAAGTCATATATGCAAACAAGTTCCCTTTTTGTGCACATCAAGCAGWAAGACACTGAGCTGCAAAAACAAAAAAAAATATTGCATTGTTTGGAAGTAAAACAATTTTAAAAACAATTAATGATACAGGCAGGATTAAATGCAGAAAAGTGTCCTTTTGCACGGTAAGCAAATTATAAAAAAACACAAAGCAAACATTTTACTATTGAATTTCTAAGACTTACAGTTGGTCACTGTGGGTGGGGGGCCCCCTGGAGTGGCTCAGAGGTTTTGTTTTCAAATTAAAATACATTATTCAGAAAAAACAGTAAAGAATGGTTATAATGCTGCATTTTCATTAATAACCAGGCTTATTCTTGAATGCTTGACATATTGTTATAATGTTCTGGGGTCCGGGGGGTTTGGGGACATGTAACAGATCCTGACAGAAAAGGTTTGAGAACCACTGCTCCAAAGAAACTCAGTTCTTGTCATAAATAATGTTWTGACACATTTATGTATTTAACGGTTGGCCTACTAAGAAGCCAAGCAGGAAGTTACATCAACATAATTCATAACCATAAATGTAACTGTAGCTTGTCACAAAGCCTTTATTCAAAAATAGGAATGTTCCCTATTTAAATACGCAAAGTTCGAGTGGCGCTATCTGAACATAAAAAAATGCAGCAAATAAAAGTATTAAATACTTTAGAAAAGYTTTTTTAAATATATAACTTGAGTTATTTTGATAGCACTTACATTAACACATATTAAGAGTTTGCTCTGTGTACAAAAACAAACAAAGCTCAGAGGTCTGTGTAAGTGACCGTTGTGACCCCATGAATCAATAATGTCGGCCCCAAACTGTTGGTCACGGCTTCCAGCTGAGATAAGTACTGCTGTGATTGGCTGCGGGCCGCTGGAGGCCGAGGTAAATACAGAAAGCGAACGGTAGCCTGTGAGCTGTGCTCCTTCAACATGCAGTTCACCGCTGCCAACATGTCCTCGGTGAGGAGTGGCGCCAGCTCCGCGGAGCGCTCCCCCTCTGGCACGGCGCACCGCTGCACCACCGAGTCCCACGGCACGATCTTTATGGACGCCCTGATCCTCAGCTTCTTCAGCAGCTCGCGGAACGTTTCCTCGTGGACCACCCAGCCCTGATCGCTGGAGCCCGTCTCCACGTTCAGGAAGATCCGCATCTTGGCGTGGCGCCACTTGCTGGACATGTTGAGCACGCAGGCCATCTGCAGCAGGAAGAGRCTGCACACGTCCTGATAGTCGCAGCTGCCCAGCTGCAGCAGGTTGAGAGGCCAAACGTCTATGACGCGCTCGGAGCCATCAGTTTTACTGTCTTTATTCTCCCCCTGCAGCTGGAAGAAGTATCGCCCGAGGCAGACATTTTTGTTCATCTTCAGAGCGTCAGAAATGATGCCGACGTACTCTTCAGGCTGCAACCACCGGGGGCTTTCAACGTGTCGCACAGGGGGGAAATACGCTTGCAAGGAAGGAAGGTCAACCCCGAAATTATATTCCCCCTCACCGTTCTTCCCCACCGATGACTGACAGAAGGCCGAGTCTTGTAGGAAGAAGTCATCAGGAGTGCAGCTGTCATAGAAACCCAAAACCAGCATGTTGGGCTTCATGCCACCTTGGATGAAGATAAACAAAATCAGAGTGCAGAGAAAACACCACGTGCACACAAAGCAGTGTGATCATCTGTGCGGACTGTGGGAAAAGAATGAAAATAATAAAACTTACCGAGTCCTGTGATGCGCAGCAGATGTTGAGTTCCTTGTCTGACTGAAGGAGACAGAGTCAGGTCCACGAAGGCCTTCACGCCCAGTTTATCAACCAGGCTCAGCCAGAAGTTGTACTTGGTCTGGACCGGGTCTGATGGCAGAGAGTCTGAAACACAAAACCGAAAGAGTTAATTTACTAATATTAGAAAATGTTTTATTTTGTAGCTGTAAAACAAACGCAAGATCCGCGGGCCAAATGTGGCCCACCAACATTTTATGTGGCCTGCAAAAGCATCAAAGATGTAATGTATTCAAATAAGTGTATGCTCCTTTAAAGCCAGCATTGACCTTAAACTACGTCCCATGATACATGATGACAAAATAACAACATCCCACCACTAGGTGGAGGTCCACAGGGTTTAAAAGTAGCCATCAGACAGGGAAGTTCACTGTGTATATCTTCATGTAGCTGTACTTTTACCAGATACTTTTGCTGTGGCCCAGTTGTACTGGGAAGTGGGAGTTTCCCACATGCAATGTGTAAATTTAAATTGGAACACCCCTCCAGTGGGAATTCCCTGTCAGAAAGTGGGAGAGTTCAGAACTCAAGATGGCAGCTACTCCCCACAGCTCAACAATAAAACTCTCTTACTTTTACTTTCAATAGTAATTMTTTTTATTTATTTCACCCTTGGTCAGTCGTACACACTTTTGAGTGTTTATAAAAAGGACATGTTGAAACAATGTTTCTATGCAGGAAATACCACGTAGAGCTCGTGAAGTTTAGTGTTTAGTCGAAGTTGAACACATCAAAGGTAATTACAACTGACTCTGAGGGGCCATAATGTGGGCCTTGGTAAAAATGAACTTCATTAAAAAAATTAATAAATAAAAAAGGAAAATGAACTTCAGATAGAAAGAATATATAAAGAGAAAGTAAGAGTTCAAACTGCAGACACTAAGAGCAATTAGATTCAATTATTTTCTGTATAATCCAGTGCTTTTCATAATTTATAACATGCTTCAAATTTACACAACTGATCTAGTTGTAAATGGACATCTACTGGCAGGTATTGCCTAAGAACGCTGCTGAAATTAATCATGTGACAAACGTTTGACGCCACAGAGAAAATATGTTTTGATGGAAAATGGGAGGGAAAGTCAAATCCCATGACCAGGTTTCCAATGATGGTGGTAAATGTGAACTTTCAGTCACGTCTAATAATTCCTGCTGAACCTGCTTGTTTACTGCTTGTGAATTCCCGCTTGTTTGCCTGAATGTGTTACTTCATAACATTAGTGTCATTCTTCCAGGGACATGATGAATCCACAGGTAGATTCCACCTGAATGTCCAAATAATTAAACACACAAGTAGGAGCTTATAGACTAACATTTTAAAACTGAGATCATTTTTAAAATGAATCATAACCCATTAGTTGTGGGTAAATCTGCAAGAAAATGACAGGTGAGGTTTGGAACTTTACCCAGATCTCCCAGCTGAACRTGACCCAAAACATACAGCCCCCCCTTCTTTAGCTGGTTCACGAACAGGATGAGCTGGCAGGAGGAGCGCGGGTTGGACACCATCAGCAACACCTGAGGCCTCCAGAACTTCACGTGGTCTTTCCTCACGTCCAGCATCAGCAAATACTTCCGCACCTAAACCACAAAGAGACGGACAGGTGGAGGAAAACAAAATGCCTTTTCTGTAAAACAGATTGTGAACGCTGAGAGCCATGTTACAGAATGAACTGTAAAAGCTAAAAACAAGCAGAAAAGGAGCAGAAATGCAAAAACTATTGMTTCAACTTAAAATAGAAAAATGTTAGCAAAGAGCTAAATCCAGCTAAAAATTAAAACTAGCAATTAGACCTATAGGTTTAACTAATTATATTAGCAAAACATCARAAAAAATGTAAAAATAGCTAAACTGAAGGTAAAAGCTATAGGCAACACTTGTTAAAAGCTAAAATGAGCTCAATTGTAAAATTTGAGTTAGCAAACAGTAACAGAGCTAACATAAGCAAAACTGCAGCTAGAAGCTAAAATTAGAAAGACTGCATCTAAAAACTAAAACAAAATGGTAAATGGTAAATGGTAAATGGTACTGAACTTATAGAGCGCTTTTCAAGTCCCTCMGGACCCCCAAAGCRCTTTACACTAACAGACATTCACCCATTCACACTCACATTCACAAAAGGTAAAAACTATATGCAAAACAGTAACTAAAAGCTACAGTTAGAGTGTAGATTAACGCTCTAAGTAAAATTGTAGCTGAAATCTAAAATTAGCATCCAGATCTAAAAGCCTAATTCATCAAAATAGCAAAACATTAGAAAAACGCTTGAATTTGCTAAACTAAAGGTAAAAGCTAAAATGACGTAAACTGTAGAACATATATTAGCTGAGTCATCGTTTATTCAGACAATAAATAAACAAAGTAGTGGAGGACATGTTTGATTTGTACCTGGTGGAAGATGAGAGCCTGGCTGATGTAGCCCCAGCTGCTGGTGGGCGATCKGTAGTGGAGGAAGAGCAGCAGCAGGAGCAGGAGGACGATGCTGCCTGACGAGTACACGGGGTTAATGACAAACATCATGACCAGACAGCTGAGGATCCCAAGCAGGCAGGTGTGCCACGAGAAGAACTGGAAGGTTGGTCTGCTCAACACAAATGACGACAATCACATCAAGTTTTACATACAGCATATTTATATTCTAATATACAACAAACAAACTGACAACAATCCATCTTCATACCTGAAGTTTGGTGCAGACGCCCACTCCAAAGCCAAACAGGCCAAATCCACAGCAGCGTAGGCAAGCAGGTAGAAGACAGTCACCAAACCAGCCACAGCGTTGAGCTGCCCTGCAAACACCACACACTGACACACAAACAAACCGTCCACAAAATGAGCTCAGGTGGGAAACTAACGTTATCTGGAAACGACAGGACTTTGTGGCGCAGAAACGGACCTGTGCCAGGCCCCAGGTGTATAGCACCGCCACCCAGGGATTCCCAGAGTTTGAGGTGATGGCGGCGGGAGCCAAGGGTAAACCTGTGGAGAAAAAAAAAAGTTTTTTTTTTTTTAAATCACTCTACAGTGGCGGGCATGGTACTGCTAATGAGCTAACAGCTAATAATGTTTTGATTAGCAAATTWGTCTTAGTAATTAATTAGTCTCAAATTTTTAGCAAAGCTATWTTTTWGTTAGTGGACTATGAGTTAGGAAAGCTAACKTTTTGGTTAGCTGTGCCCACCACTGTCAGTCAATGTACAAAAACAAAAGGCACAAAGAATACGATGCCTGACCAAAAAGATGATCCACGGCAAGAGCATGGAGGATGCGGGAAGCTCCGATCATGGCGCACATCGCAGCTGACAGGGAAGCACAGTATATTCCTACAGTGACCAACGGTGGCCATAAGCTGATTCGCTGAAAAAAACCATAGTCTTGAACCAACAATGTCCTAAAAAAAAAAAGAAACAAATACAGGATTTAATAGAACCAAAGCTGCTGTTCAGAATAAATAAAAGTAGATGAAGGTACTGAGGTGATATGAGACCTGTCACATGTAGCGCTGGCCAAGATGAAGAGGAGTACGTAGACTGTGAAGGTGTAAATGACAGCTATGATGGTGCCCTTAGGGATGGATACACTCGGGGTCTTCAGCTCCCCTTCAGACATGTTAGAAACCGGAGAAAACATGTCTGTGAGCAGCTTTATATGTGGAGTTCCTGTTTGTACCCTCACCTTACTGCAGGGCTATTCAACTAGCGATGACCCCCTACCCGCCAGAAAAAAAAATACAAATAAATAATACTTGTATACATGTTTTACCTATAATTATTACTCACGTTTCCCCCCTCCCCCTGGGAATGTTCAGCCCCTAAGCTATGGACTTACCCCGGCGAAAATTGCATGATTCCTTTGGAATTTTTAATGGGCGTGGCCAAATGGCTCGACAGCGCCATTTAACGTGAGATAGAGGAACTGGTAAGTCCCAGAGAGCTGAAAATCAAGACATAGGTAGATCTCCCCAAATCAAGAAAAAAGTCTCTTGGAGGTATGCCCTAAAACCAACAGGAAGTCGGCCATTTTGGGTCAAGAGAYTTTTTTTCTTGATTTGGGGAGATCTACCTATGTCTCGAATTTCAGTTCTCTAGGACTTACCAGTTCCTCTATCTCATGTTAGGTGGCGCTGTCGAAGAGTAACTGGCATATGGAGTGATTTAGTTTAATAGCCCTGCCTTATTGTGTCTCTGTTTTTTTCCAGAAATATCTAGTAAGTAAATCTGTTAGTCTTTTCCTGTTAAAGATTACTAATTACAAATAAATCCACCTGACATGTTGGCTCCAGCCATGATCCCTGTGCAGCTGGTGAACATGACAGCAAACACAGTAGCGAAAGACATGACCGAGTTGGTGCTATAGTCCAGAGAATAGTCAGCTGAAAACAAATAAAATGCTAAGTTTTTATAAATGTATACAGAAAGTGTTATTCAGCAATAAGCTATCATAACTTTACAAGCAACATTATCGTAACTGATCACAACTCACAGCCCAGGTTGTTCCTCAGCGTGGTGGCGCTGTAGCCCGTGTAGCTGGCGTTGTAGCGATGGGTTTGGTTCCCAGGTCCCTGATGAACAATGATGAAGGTTTGAGGTTTGACTGCCACAGAACTGATGAAGATGGACAGCAGAGACACTGTGACCACCAGCAGGATGGCGAAGGCGGTGCGGGAGTAGATGTGGGCGCCCACCAGACACACGATGAGACACAGCAGAAGGATCACTGTGGAGTACAGAACCGTGTACCAGTACCCCTGAGGAAGCACCCGCACCCCCTCAGACACTGAGGACTCTGAAACAGGCAGAAGACTTCAGCTGTGAGGGATGTGTGAAAAAGCTACTAAAAAAGCTAAAACAGAGGTGTTAAAGCTATAAAAATAACTAGAACACAAGTTAACACTAATCAAAATGCTAAGTAAAAGTTAAAAATTACAAAAGATGAGCTAAAAGCAGCAAAAAATTAGCTAAAATTAGCAAAAGGCCAACTAGAAGACAAAGTAGCAAAGAACTAGCTAGAAGCTAAAACAGTAATTAAGAGTTTAAAGTAGCAAAAGCTAGGTAGAAACTGAAAGTGGTACAAGTCTAGCTATAAGTAGAAAAGGAATAGTTAAAAGATATAATTAGCAGAACTGTAGCTAAAAGCTACAACTTAACAAGAAACTAGCTAAAAGCTAAAAGGTCATAGCAAACATTTACTGAATATACTGAACAAGAATGGCTAAAAAAATCAGGAAGTATGCAAACATAGTTAGATTGCACAAATAAATAAAAACAAAAACAAACAAACAAAAAGAAAAACAACAACAAAAACAAGTAGAAATTGAAATAATTAAAACGTAAACAGGGACAGAACTTACCAGGATCTGCACCAAATACATTGAGAATGGCCTCCACAAGACCCAGAACATACTCTCCACATGCAAACACTTTGGCCATGTAGAACATCAAACCAATGCTGCCTCCAAACTCAGGTCCTAAGGACCGGCTTATCATATCTGATTTCATTTATTAAGGTGAATTAACCAGCTGTCATCAGCCAAAATGTATATAAAATCCAGCTTAAATCCAGAAAGAACCCATTCATCTGATAAGGATACAGTAAGCTCCTCCACCCTGTATTGCCCCGTTGGTGGAGATGGCACAGATGGACAGTATTGTCAGAGATATGATGGTGTAAGCTACAACAATCATTAGAAGACCCTGCAGCAGTCCTGCGTGACCCACCACGAACCCTGGAGACGAAGAGAAACCAACATGAGCCACTTTAGCACACGAGGAGTTTTTATACGTCTGTAGTCTCCAAACGAAGCTCCACACACCTGTTCTCAGAAACAACACAATGCTGAACATGGAGAGGATGGTCGGTACCATCACCCCGAAAAATGTGTTCAGCCTTCGGGGGTTCTGGGTTGGTTCTCCGGGGCTGGGGTCCTGGGTGGAGTCTGAGGCAGCGCCGCATGATGTCAGAGTCAGACCACACACACCTGAGGTGATCAGAGGCGTGCGTTCGTTCAGCATGGCTGAAGAGAGGGGAGCTCCGGGTGACCCCGTGAATAAGAAACCCTTGAAGGACAATGACAAAATTCGATTAGAAGTGGTGGACGTGTCTCTCTAAAAGAAAATCAGCTGTAGATGCACACCCAAAGATTACTTTGAGTTTCAATAAAATGGGCCCATTGATTCAGATATTTAGAGAACAGACAGACAAACATGAAAGGCAATCATGACTTTTATGACAGCAGGTGAAAAAACATTGGGACAGAGCAGRAAAAACAATAAGATTGATGAATGTCGTAAAAAACGTTCAGGAGGAACATCTCTACGTTGAGTCTCGTGGCAGAAAATATGTTTTAACATGAAAATTAATATCCTTGAAAAGATTCAAACAGGGTTAGTAGCTCCAAACAGAGGCGTTGTGATCTCTGGGCCCTCGAGGCAGCTCAGCATCAAAATAGAGATGATTCTGTGATGGAAATCTCTGCCTGAATAACAGTCAGTAAATGCAGCTCGTTGTATCTTTGAATCCCTCATAAAATTATTTAAACACGCAATGAAAAATATAAACGCAAACAAGACAAAGAAATGCTGCTGTGTTTTATGTGCGAGAGCTCATTTAACACAAAACAGAAGGCAGTCATAAAGTTGGACAAATTAAAACTTTTAGAACTTTTATTAGGACATTATGGACACACTGTGCCTCGCACAATASAGATAAGAGACTGTAACATTTAAATGATCTTTCTGCAGTCCCACTTTTATAATAATCCAAGCTKCCTAGCTAAAATGGTGAGAAGGGGTTAACTGCGGAATCAAAGTGGGCGTGTCACAAGAGCGGGCGTGTCAAAAGCATAAACACTGTKGGCTACGAGGCCTACATGACGGTATCCTTAGACCCTGCTTGACCTCTTTACAGCCTGACCCTGACCCCAACACTAAGGTTAACCAGGAGAAATGTGACCCAAGTAGGGTTCCCCAGAAAAAGTGGTGCAGTACAGTAACGCCCCTTTTGTTCTTGTCCAATCAGGTGGTGCCGTACGGTCTCAACCCTTTTTTGCTTGTCCAGTCAGGTGTGTCCCTTTAACAAAGTCCGTCAAATCAGGTATGTCGCTTTAGAATCGCCTTTCCTTGTGACACGCCCACTCATCCGCAGAGACCCCTACTTGAAAATGGTAGCTTTGCTAATGGAAAGCGTGAAAAAATTGCTAAWGCTAAACAGCTAAACAAGTGCAAAAAACGTTGTTAACTAAAGTTAACATTAACAGCTAACCGCTAAGATGACTGTCACTCAGTCTGCTTCTTATGACTTTGTCTCCTTGGAGCTGAAGACYGGTGGGACTGATACAAACCTGTTGATGTTAGTTTTTTGGCAAAACCCATAAAYCTACTTAACCCTACTGTTATTTAGACCTCTATGCCAAAACCTAATTTAGTCCAAGATAAGTGGTCTGCTAACTATTTTCAAAGTCARAGAAAAAGCTAATCTGCTAAAGGCTAAATTAGCTGAACCATGCCTACCACATGGCAGTAGATAAAAACATTTATATTTTTAACTTCTGATTGTTCAAAAATGATGTTTGTATTAGATCTATGACAGTGTTTTACAAAGTATGGGCCGCCAGGGGGTGCTAGGGGGTCTCAGATTTATTTTTGCTTTTTTTTYTTATCTTCCCTCCAGCTTTCTAATAAATTAAATCCTTATCGTAAAATGGAATCTGGTTTTCAATCCTTAGTTTAAAAAAAGATTTTTAATTTATTTTGTTTTCTTCTTCTCTTCAACAGTGTAAGTTGCTATGTTTTTGTTTTTTTTTTACACTTGGGCTTGCAAGGTGGGGTTCCCCGGTGGGAAGCTAATGCTATTTGGGGGGCCATGACATGGAAAAGTGGGAACCCGTGGTCTATGAGGTTCTACTAAAGATATATAAAGCATAAATAAAGCGCCCCCACCCCCCGGTGCTCCTGGTTATCAGTTTGTCCCAAAGCCTTTTTTCTTCGTACAACTCAGTATGTTGATGTCACTCTTCTCCAAAGTGTTTTTGTCACGTTTTAATGTTCTGAACTCTAGTGCACATTATTGCTCAAGACAATGAGCCCCGGGACAAGCTGTGAGTCAAGCTCGTGTCTCATGAGTCTGAGCAAAAAAAAGTTCACACTAGATGTTGGTATTTTTCAAGTCAGCTGATTCACAGCAGCTCGTTTGTTTTAACATGGGGGGGGGTCATCTCAGCTGTGCTACTTTTTGAGCAGGTTGTCCTCTGTATTCTGTCTCAGAAAGGACATTCTTTCATCTCTGGAGCAGGTGAACCACTCAGCTACAAGAATCACATGATGAAGAACACAAAGTAGGACACAGCAGAGCCTGACAGGGCATGTAAGTGGGGGCCGCACCCAAATCCAGTACTGGGTCTTGTTTACTGAAGATGCTGGCACTATTAGGACACAGCTGAGGAAAGCTGAAGACATAATGTAAATGTGTTTTTCACAGATGTTACTGACTCACAAAATGGGGCCTCGTGCTAAGCTTTTCTTAGYAGTTTCAAACGAGAAGGTTTGGGTAAAAAACTAWAGACATCTGTATTGTCCTGCTTTTACTTCCTCTATTGTTGATGCTGTAAATAGTGCTGATAGAGGATGTTAGTGATGCACTGAATTTATGCTGCTGCTGCTGCTGCAAGGCCCCTCTGATCCACCCTCCCCCCTGGGTCGCTAAAGTGCCAAAAACACACCTAAAGTGACATTACAGTCACTTGTGTCAAACTATTTACACCTTTAGAAAAAGTAGGAAAGCTTTAGCTAAATCAAAACCTTTAGCCAGTAATGATCATGGTTCTGCTAACCAGATAACAACAGGACTAATGTTTTTTTTAGATGTCAAAGTTTTTTTTTTTAATAAAAGCCTTACTGAAGAAACGGTAAATGGCCTGAGCACTTTATCTAGTTCCTACAGACTCCAAAGCGCTTCACACTATTCACCCTTTCATTGCGGCCACAGCTGCCCTGGAGCACAGAGAGGTGAAGCTGACATGAACAGGTGCTACTGGGCCCTCTGATCACCACCAGTAGGCAAGGTGTGTGAAGTGTCTTGCCCAAGGTCACACTGATTGAAAAGGATGGAACCAGGGTGAACTCTTGATTTAAGGTGCAGAACAAAATTATAACTATGACTAAAAAGTGTAACTTTTGAAGYGTGCCAATGTTATGTTAATGTGTTAACTAGCTAACTACTTACCTAGCTATGTAATTAAGTAGATAGGTAGATAACCGTATGATACTGCTAATCAGCTAACAGCAGAACTAATATTTAGTTTAGCGAATTAGATTTTCACTAATGTTGACAACTGATAGCAGACCAATTAGCTTTGGATAAATTAAGTTTAACTTTAAATCCGCTGACAGCGTATTCACAACATCACCAGGAGCTTCATGTATCAACGGTGTGTACACACAACAACCTTGCGTACGCCATTTTCCACTGAAATGACCGTGGAAATGAGCGAAGCCCCACGCCGACTCCAGGGCTGGCGTACGCACGTTTCTGTGGTTCTGGTTCCATTGGCGACACWTAGAGGTGATTCTGAGAAACTGTTCATGATGTGAAAATGATCATTGTTCACAGCAGACACACATGATCGACAATCAGTACAATCCACATGGACGCAGTTAGATAAAGAACGCCGCAAAGTTGTGCCAAAAATACATTTACCAKGAATGGATTCAGCCTTACTGGAGGATATAATAAATAGTGTAACAGCAGAGCGTGYATTTTAAACTGAATTTTATGATCCACATGATGACTGGATCATCAGCTGTTTTCAGGAATAATCCTTTTTCAGTTTGGAACTGCGGCACGCTGGGAGAGTAACGCAGCGAGGGGCCATGCGCCTGAGCCACGTCATGCCCAATGGAACGTCTCATCCATGATTCTGACTCTCCAACAYCACGTCACGTCATGAAAACTCAACTGAGGCGCAGAGACTCGTTTCTTTATATCAGCTATTAAAGAAACCAATATCTATGTTCTACCAAACATCTGTGTTTACAGCAATTATGGTAATAAACTCGTGCGTAATGTTACTATTTCCAGGAATGGATGGATGCGCCGGTTGCGCACCACAGCGCGCGCACACGCAAAYACCGACACACAATCACTCGTTCTTTGCGTGACAAACATATTTTAGTCCATTTGACTTATAGGTTAGTGTTAGCTTCAAATGTTTTTTTTTTTTTACATTTAGCCAGGTATCATAAAAGAAGCTATTCAAAGTTAGCAGAGAAAGCTAACTTTTTGGTTAGCTGTGGCCACTGGCTTTAGCATTCCCTGAAGGAATGATTCATTACCTGAACTCTATATCTGTATAATTAACTAAGGTGTAGCCAGTTTTGTAGTGGCTAATTTGACTTAGCCTYAGCTGCTATCTTGAATTAGATTGTTTCCAAATATAACAAAAGAYAAGATAGAATTAGATTGTTTTCTTTGTAGGTATACATGATCATTTCCTGAAACTTTTGTAAAAATATGTTCAATGGTTCAGAAGATATTTTTGCTCGCAGAGTTTACTTCAAATGTTACGCACAGTTTCACACAAAGATCTCACAATCTGTGAGCACTCAGAATGTGTGTTGGGGGTCACGCTCAACTACGACCACATAGAATTTAGGTCCGTATCTGCAAAATCTATTGAATTAGAATTTTTATTTATTTATTTATTTATTTATTTATTTATTTATTTATTTATTTGTTTGTTTGTTTGTTTGTTTGTTTGTTTGTTTGTTTGTTTGTGAAGTCTGTTGTGGCCATCTTGAATCAGGCTGACAAAAGTTAATCAAGTAGTACATCTGAGAATTCAAGTTTTAATATTTTGTCCAGTGGTATACATGAGATATTTTGCTAACAGAACACGCAGACATAGGCAATGCGTTATCGTCCATCGTTTTTCAGCTGYGGGCAAAAAGAAAGTTTCCAGTTTGTCTGGTAAAATAATAATAATAAAAAAAAAACTAGAGCGTTTACGCAGAAGTGCTACTCAGGAAGTTGCTCCATCCCCCCACCGGCTGTGTTATCTATGAATAAAACCATGTCGACTACATCCAGGATTTTTAATTGAGCATCCTGCGACACGTGCACGCGCACGCACACACGGATGAAAAGCTTACCTCTGTCCGAACTTCTCCCGTCAGTTCCACTCACTTCCTGATTACAGACCAAACTGGTTTTCTGGGGTTACGCCGCTGCTGGGGGCTGTTTGTTTTGTTATCGAGGCCGTCCCGGMTCAAACAGGCAGCGGACTGGACACCGAACAGTCCGGATGTGACCGCAGCAGACCGGCCGAGTAGAGCTTCACCGCTCCTCCCCTCCCGGACTGACGGATGCTGGGCAAAAGATGTGGGACTGAACAACAACATATGAACCGGGGCACGCCTCGTTCCTTTCTTGTTATTTGTTCAAAAAAAGTCACGAGAGAGCAGCCAGAGGCCATGTGACTCGTCCTAGGGGCGGGACCAAAATATAACGTCACACACATCTGAGCCAAGGTGCTGTTGGCTGAAATAACCACGCCCCTAAATTACAGTTCTGTCAAACATGAACACGTCACTCAGCGATAAATGTCCTCCAACAGGGGAACAGCGTTAGAAAATATAGTATTAGATAATGAAATACACATTCGCGATTTTATATTAGTAAAAGCACTAAACTGAGCTGACTGATGTAAAGTGTGGCGGTGAATGACATGCAATATCASCTTTCGCCGCAAGAGGTCACTGTTTCACAAACAAGTCTTCACAGCTGCTGAATCAATTTATTTATTTTTACAAATATTTAGCATCTATTTTGAAATTGCGCCTCACTTTTCAAAACATAAATAGCAGACTAATACAGATATCACATAACATTGTTCTTTTCCATTTTTTTACAATGTTTACTGGTGTGCAAACTTTCCAACACTTCTTGCATTTTTTTTTTTTACTTCAGTTAAAGTAAGTATAGGTGAGGTGTACAAAAAAGTACAAAAATAAACTGAGTAAGTGTTACCTAGAAACAGGGGTGTCACTCATTTTCACTGAGGGCTACATGAGCATTACGTTGGCCCTCAAAGGGTCATTTGTAATTAACTTTGATTAGTGTTAACCTCAACTAAACATGAAACATCACGTTCCTCGTCTCATTGCTACAAGCATCGCTAACAAACTTTAACAGAGCTCTATGTGGTATTTCCATCATAGTGTCTTATAGACACTGAAAAGCACAGCTGATGAATACTTTTGAATCTTTGTTTCATGGGTTAAGTAATCAAAACATGCAAAAAATCTCTTTATTGCCTAAAACATTTCAAGTTTACCCTATAACTCCTACTGATTGTACTTTTTGAATCTAATAAAAATGTCAAGCTACCAAATACAACAAAAATATTCACTGTATTTAATAAAAAACCTTCTGTAATATTGCATACTGAATTTGTAAAAGCAAGAAGCTCACGTTGTTTTAAAAAAGTTAAATTAAATCATGTTCCACATTAAATCCATTCAGCTCAATCAAAGCAGCAGGTATTGATGAGGGGATTACAGGATGTTAACGGACGCCCCTGTGGATTGAACAAATGTCACAGAGGATCTAATCTGAGGGGCTGAACCACCTGCTCTTACTGATGACAGAAATTAAAGAAAAATCAACCTCATTTTGTACATTTCAAGCTTGTAAATTATGTTAAAGTATGTGACCCTGAAAGGAAGAAGCAGCTTAAGGTAAAAGATGGATGTTATGACAAAATACACCTTAAAAGGGAAATTATTGGTATAGCATCAAACAAACTTGTTATATTTACACAATTAAATATTTTTATGCTTTACAATAAATGTCTTAGTAGATCATTACAACTAAATTACAGATTTTTTTAAACATAATGATAAATTTGAACAAAGATATTGTTGCAAAAACAATGGAATTCCTGAAAAAAGCTGTTTTTTTACACACTGAAAGCTGAATGTCACATTAAATAAACGGTCAAATGTCACTTTACCAAATGTAAAGTTCAGCAGGTTTATATTTGTATCTGCAGCAACATTAACCACATTATTTTCCCAATTTTTCATTTTTAATATTTATATTTAAACAGTTTGCCTAAAATAATTAGATTCTTTTTTATATTTCTGATTGTTTTGAGGTATAAAATGAAGAAAAACAGTTTATTCTTCAGCTACAGTTTGATCCACACATAACCCAGACAGATAAAAGTGAACATGTGAGGACCTGTGCTGATCTGCACACAGGAGCCTCAAAAGGATCAGTTTTTATGAAGAGTGGAAACAGAAAGTCTTCAGTTTCTATTGTGCTACTTCTCAAAGCAAACATTCCTGTTTGATCACACAACTTAAAGTAATATATAAACACTAAAGCATCATTATAACCTTTCAGTAAATATTTTTTGTTCAGGCCTCACAACTTTGAAAAAGGAAATAATAATTAAAAAACATTAAAACTTAGCTATGTTTGTTTTCTCATTGCACGATGGATCAGTGGTTAGCATTAATGCCTCACAGCAAGAAGGTCCTGGGTTCAAATCCCCAGTTCAGATCTGGGATTTTTCTGTGCAAGGTGTACCTGTGCTTTTTGTGCTTGTGTGGGTTTTCTCTACTCTGGTTTCCTCCCACAGACCAAAAACATGTAGACTACAATAGATTGCCTCATCCAGACCTCCTAATCTGTGAACTCAGTGAGATTTGCCTGGTTTAATAAGGGTCACTTATGGTTCTCCAAAMAGCATAAAGACATAAAGGAGGAAAGATAACAGAAGAGGTGAGTGAGGCTTACTTTTTAGACGGCGTTTCTGCCTCTCGTTAAGGAGTGGCAGATGTGTGGTGACCATAAATGTGCCACTAACATCTCTTTTGATCTTTTACAGTTTATACAGCAAATTGTAGGCGTTTGGTTTTAGCTCAGAGAATTACAGAGTAAATATTATGTCCTGTAGCTGTTCTTTGTAAAATGTCTTCAGAAATGCTTTATTTGTTGTTAGTTTGATCATCAGTTTGTTGTCAGGTCTGAGCTGATAGTCCTCAGTCTGCAGAGAGAGGGAGGAGGCAGCCAGAGAGAGGAAGGAAACGAGGATAACGTCACGAAGACTCGGAGTAAAAAAAAAAAAAAGAAAAAAAAACGGGCTGAATCGTGTTTAATGGACGGTGTTTGACGCGGGCCGGAGGAAAAGAACCGAGGCCCGAACTGCATCTCTTCCACACCCATCACCGGACCAAGATGTTCCTGCTGAGGAGCTGAAGAACAGGAGCCGAAAATATATAAATACATATATTTTTCCTGAGCGGAAACGGGAAGCTTCACGTTTCATCTTTTCTTCTCCTCCTCCCGGAGCTTCAGCAGCAGCAGAGAAATGGAAATGTGTGGAGCCTTCCTCCTCCTCCGTTCGCCTGTTTACTGAAGCCTTTTAATCGTGACATTTATATTTATTTTTTCTCCGAATCGGCCCTGAACTGCAMCCCTTCCCACCCCTCTTTTTTTAATGCGTGAACCGGGCTTTGAACCCTCCACGGCTCGGGGACGCTGCTGTCAGAGTGTTTGAACCATCGGGAGAAACTAACAGGTAGCCTCCCTTTCCTTCACCGCAGCCTGTCGGCGTTAAGATGGCGATGATTTGCCTTCATTTAGACCCAAATGTGTGCAGCTAGACCCGCTTTTTTCACACCCCAGCTGATCAGTGGCCAGCCTTCTTCAATGCAGTAAAGTACCTCCTCCCATCCTTTCTCATCATCTTCATCATCATCATCTGCCACCTTTTGCTGCTGTTTTTTATTATTATTATTATTTCAGGCCTGCATGTTCATCCATTATCTATCATACATGCAGTGGCTGAAGGCTCTGCAGCTGTGGCCATTACACATCAGACCACATCCAAACAGGGCCACCTCCAGAAAACTGGGGGGCCCAGATGGTGGCTGGCACTGGGGTGGCACCAGAATCAAAAGCCCAAAATGAATTTGCAGGAGTTTTGCACTGTGGTCATAGAAACATAAGCTGTTTTTTAAAGACTGGTTAATTTAGGATGATTTTACATGTTAGCTTTGTAGAAATCTAAGTGCTGTGTGTGTGTGTGTGTGTGTGTGTGTGTGTGTGTGTGTGTG